AACAAATAACGACGGCGCCAGGCGGACCTCTCTGGGGAGCGCATTCCATAACTTAGGCGCCACCACTGAGAAAGCCCTTTTCCGAGTAGCCACCCTCCTAATTTCTCTCCCGGAGGGCTCCCAGAGAAGGGCGTCTCCTGCCGATCTCAGGGGGCGACTGGGCAAATATGGATGTAAGCGCTCCTTCAGGTAACCAGGACCCAAGCCGTTTAGGGCTTTATAGGTCATTACCAACACCTTGAATTGGGCCCGGACTTCAATGGGGAGCCAGTGAAGCTGAAGAGACTCTTAAGTATATTGGAGCAAGAAAATTATTCTTGGGGATGGATACAAGTTGCCACTTTACCAGCTCCTAGGCCTTTTCTGTATGAAAAATTTACTGTGTGCTCAGTTGTTTACAAGTTCTTCACACCATGTTTTTCCTTCTGTATCTAACCAGCACATCCCCACACCTTTTTTTAGGAAGAAAAATCCAGTATTTATTTGTGACAGGGAAAGGAAGCGTAATTTCCACTTGTGCATATGCTAGATTCCATTGTACTGCAGTGCCACCAAGAGATTATGTGGCATAGAATAATGATTTTCTTTCTTTTTGCAAACTTTCATAGAGGGTGGGAAGATATGAAGAGAGCCAGTTTTGGGGGCTGCAGTACATGGGCTGTGTTTGTAATTCCCTCAGCATGTTTGATTATTTTGTTCAATTTAGTCTGTTCTGTTTATGTCAGTTTTTCTTTTGTTCTGTACTTTCTTCTTTGTAATTGTATATATTCGGGAAATAAAAATAAAAAAGAAGTTATGGGGCAGAAACACAGGACAGGGAATATTTCTTATTTAGCACTTGGATCAAAATTCTGAGACAAAACTGAAAGAAGATCTGTCCAATTAAGAGCTGATTAATAGCTCCCACTATCTCATACTGAAAGATAAAGCAACTTTAGTGCATTTGTGGCCACTTTAGTCCCCCCCACCCCCGTGGTACATTCCTTTCGACACTGTATTCTGTGGGACACCCAGGGAGAAAGGATAAGGGCCTGCTTCCAAATTTGGGGGGAAACCACTACTGTGTGCCAAGCAGGTAAAATGTAGCTTGTTCTGAGCTGATCATTTATTCAAAGCATTTATATCTTATTCCTCAGCCAAAAGGCTCCCAGGACATCTTACAAAGGTTAGTCATCTGTAGCTTTAAAACTGTCATCCCCCTGTTGAAAGTTGTTCAGCGTGATTTGTCAGTTCAGAATCTACCCAGATCAGAGTTGCTTGGCTACTTTAAACAAAAGCGTTCGTTTATGAATCACCAGACAGAATCAGAATTTATAGCTAGGTTATTAATTAAACATACTTTATTTTTCATGATTTTTAAAGACTTCTGAAGTTTTATAAGAGGCACTTTATGCTTTAGAGGGTTCATCACTGGAAGCAGTAGTTGAGTCAAACCCAAAGGTCGTTGCAGCAAAGGAACTGCTGTACTAGTTTCCCTTGGAAGAAGTGTGGAAGAAAGATTTAAAACCAAAAATCTCCAGTCAAACCAGTGCAACTGCAATCCAACAATCCTTTATGGAAACCATATCCAACAATATCCCTACGATTTTGTAGGGAGAGATCCTTTGCCAACCCCATTAGAAGGGACTACCTGTCCTTCCACATACAAGATCAACTTTTTATAATATACCCGGCATCCCAGGATTTCTGCTATGTTGAGAAATCTGCCCCCTTAAATGCCAGGCTAGTGCTCAAAGCAGATCGGAATTCATGACCCTTCTGGCAGGGTCAGACTTAATTCATCGAGCTCCTCTCTTTGAATATGATTTCCCATCTACAGTTACACTGCAGGGAACAGTCCTAGAAAAGTCAACAGGATGGTATACTAAGCAGCCAGTCATTCTTTTGTTTTCCTGCTTAACCGAGGAAACCTCTTTTCTTTTAGTTTGCTCCCAAAATAGCACACATAAGCAGCAACCTTTACAGCCTCAGTACTTAGCAGTTTTGACCCAGCTCAGTCTTGCTGCCTCCATAAGAGAAATCTCCTGATCCACCTGCTTCTGTCCAGCATCTGTCATCTCTCCTCCTGCCCTTCTCCACAGCCATGTCTCACCTCCTCCTGATCGCTGCCAGAATTCCTGCTTCACTCCAGCTCATACAACCTGCTGGTTAAATGACACTGCTTTTAATTTACAGAGGATTATTTGTCCGGAAAACTGTCTAGTTTCACTTCTGTTTATTAAATAACACTTTCTGAAAGGATTTTGTTTGCTTGTTTAAGTCAAGAAAAATGACCTGTTTTTTCTGTTTGGTGAATGAAATCACAATTTCCTCTTGTGTAGTTGCTCTATTCTTCTGTGGCATAGTACCACCTAGAGTTTATGCGAGGAATATATTTCCACCTAAAATGGCAACACTTCTCATGTACTGCTGAGATCTCTGTTCTATGGTGAAACCAAAAGTAGATGCAGCAGATTAACAATCCTGTATAGAAAGCTCTTAGTTTGTTGCAACAAAAACAGCGAAGAGTCTTGTGGCACCTCGAAGACCAGCAAATTTACTCTGGCATCAGCTTTCATGGGCATTGTCTACTTCTTTCCGGGCATAAAATGTGGACCTCCAATTGACAAATTCATATACACACATAGGCTGTGGCAGGAGTGGGTGGGAAAAGGGAGCAGTCTTATCAGAGTAAATCAAAATGCAGAAAAGACCAGGTCCTGGTACTACACTACATGTGTAGTGTAGTATGTGAGGGGAAGTCACACGGAGATGGGTAGAGACCTGTTCTCCCCTGCAGAGGAAGGCAGCGCTCCAACGGAGCAAAGTTGAGGGAGCCAAGGTTCCATTTGGATGCCAGGAAGCACTTCCTGACTGTCAGGACCCCGAGGGTGTGGAGTGGGCTTCCACGAGAGGTCGCTGAGGCCCCATCGGTGCAGGTGTTCAAGGATAGGCTGGACATGCACATGGTGGGCATGTCATGAACAGAGCCGGCTGGAGCCGGGGGTCAGACTAGATGGCCTGGGAGACCCCTTCTGACTCGTTCTGTTTCTGTTTCTATGTTTACATTTAATGTTGCATCACCCTATGCTACACACTGCATATCATAAATACAGATTAAATACAGATTGATTTATATCCTGCCTTTTTCCTACAAAGGGCTCAAGGCAGCTTACATCTCCTCCTCCATCTTCTCCCCACAACAACAACCCTGTGAGGTGGGTTGGGCTGAGAGTCTGTGACTGGCCCAAAGTCACCCAGTTGGCTCCATGGCCGAGCAGAGACTAGAACCCAGATCGTCTGAGTCCCAGTCCCATGCTCTTAACCACTACACCACACTGGCTCTCATTCATTTATCTTATTTATATCCCATCATTGTTCCTTTAAGACGCTTACATGAGTAGCTTACATAATTCTCCTCTTCACCATTTTATCTTCACAATAGCTCTGGGAGGCATGTCAGCCTGAAATTCAGGGACTGGCCCAAAGTCACCTGGGGAATTTAGGGCTGAGCAGGGACTAGAACCCAGGTCCCCCAAGTCCCAGGCCAGCGCCCAGTCACTGCTCCTCACACGTGCCCTTCGGTGGCTCAGCGTTGCACAGTCTCATCCAACAAGGATTTGCAAATGGCAGCTACTGAGGCAAACACCCCTGTCTGTACTTTTTCCTCTGGCAACCTGTTCACACATGCCATCCAGTGTGTGTGTGCAGATAAATGTGCCAGATTTTGGGGATTAATCTTTCATGCATCCGATGAAGCAGACAGTGCCCATGAAAGCTTAAGCCAGAATAAAGGTAAACTCCTATGCATGTTCAGGCAGAAAAATTCCTCCATTTCTCAGCATCCCCTAGTTAGCAGAGCTGGCTGCCAAATGCTGTGGCTGTAGGACTTTTTTCTGCTAAATGTGCCCAGGGGACTCTGCCAGGTAGCACACTGCTCCTAATGAACCTGTCTGAATAATTCTTAGTCTGCATAAGTGAAATGGAGCCCTTTATGTGTCTGTTGCATCAATCTAATCCATCATGGGTGCATATTAATTCCTCTCCACAAGTTACTCCCAAGTCAGATGACTTGTGCCTTTAATCTCTGGAAACCTCTTTAAGATGCCAAGCTTTTTGGATGCTCTCTGTTCAACATTTAAGAGATCCCTTCCAGTTTCAGGGTCATAGGTATGAGTATGTACACACAACTAGCTAACCTCAACTGAAGATGGGAATCTGGAAACTAAAGAACTACCATGTTTCCCCGCAAATAAGACTGGGTCTTATATTAATTTTTGCTCCAAAAGATGCACTAGGGCTTATTTTCAAGTAATGGCTCATGTACAACCAATTATATTTGTTCATTTAGTCATGTACAAAAATCTACGTTTATTCAAATACAATCATACCATCTTCTTCTGGAACATCGTCATAACTCTCCAAACCCCAAATTGTGTTGTAACGGACGTACTAAATGTGTCCCTCTGGCTGACGATCTTAACTGGGGCTAATTCTGGGGGAAGGGCTTATATTAGAAGCATCCTGAAAAATCATGCTAGGGCTTATTTTCTGGTTAGGTCTTATTTTTGAGGAAACAGGGTAGATTGTCAAGAAATAGGGTAACTTGAGAATGGAGATGACTGTTAAATAACTTGCTTCTAATGCAGTTAATCCGAAGGCACATGTGGCATATGCTATCCTTTTGCCTTTTTTTTCTGGAAAAGAAGAAAAAGTGATAGGAAAACATGGGAGGGTTATCAATGGGAGGTGGTTACACCTGGGCCCTCTGTACTTTTCTGTGAATGTGGCAGGGTCATGGCAGGATGAAGGCAACCTCTGGGACTACCCTGGACCAAGGTACCCTCTGGAAACACTGCATGCAGCTACATATCTTCCCACAATCCATTACAGAAAAGCGGCCACTTACGAGGGCCGTATTTCTTCCCTCCCCAGCAAGACCCCTGCCATGGGCAGGACCCTTCAGTAAGAACCCCATCAGCACCTTGTTCCTCTTACTGTGCTTTTTTTTACCCCCTCAGCCTCCCCCCTTTCTAGAGGGGTGATCTTCAGCATGCTGACCACCCACCAAACCATGTGGAAATGACTTGGCATCATGGCATCCCAGATTCTTCTGTGGTAAGTCAAAACAGAATTGGCCGAATCGGGGCTGAATTGGCCCTTACCTGCTTTGGTTCCTGTCCGGGATTGGCCACTTTAGGGATTCAGTTTAGACGTCTCCTTGCAATATTGCCACCATGGCCCCAGCACCAGGAAGGATTAGCATATTGCAGACAAGGGTTGTACTGAAACTGGGTACTTTGGATCTCCCCCTCTAGCAGTCCTGAGAAGACCAGATGACCTTTTGTGAAAAGTCTGGTTCTTCTGACTGTAGGCATGGTGGGAAGCTTCAAAAGACAAGGCACCAGGACGGGGAGAAGTCTGGTTTGCTGGCCTACTTTGCATTCTTTTTTTTTAATTAGCATCCATAACTCCATAATCCCCTGACACCCTCGTGAGTAGCATCTCCAGGAACAGGGACTGAGCATCTGGGGACCCCGGAGCTGCAGAGGACCCCATGCCATCCTCTTCTCTTCGTATTGGCACAATTGCATGGGAGGTCAAAACCCACACTAGCAGCAGGAAGCTTTGGTGTGATCTGCAGACATAGATTGCATAAGTAGGTGCAGAGTGGAAGAGCTGCCTGGAAACAGCAGCCTTTGCACAGTAAGATACTTCCTGTTGCCTGCAGAGTTTTGTGGTTAGGCAGCAGTGAAAGAGGAAAGCTCTTTCTGCTAGAGGTGTCACTGAAGCTTACCTGGAACAAACTTAAATGTGAGTTTTGGGCTCATAAAATGCACCTCAAAGAAAAGGCAAGGATCAAAAGCCCCCTGAATGCCTCTCTGGTTTAGATTTTAATCATTACCTTTTAGGTGAAAGCAAAGCATTTTTTGCCGAAGTTGTAAAAAGGTGCAGAAAAGCTAGAAAGAATGATTCAGCAACTGAAAGATTGAGAGAACTGGGCATGTTCAGCCTCAAGAAGAGAAGACTGAGGGGTGATATGATAGCACTCTACAAGTACCTGAAAGGCTGTCACAAAGAGGAAGGACAAGATCTCTTCTCGTCCATTCCAGAGTGCAGGACACAGAATAACAGACTTAAGTTAAAGAAACCAGATTTAGACTAGACACTAGGAAGAATTTCTTTACTGTCAGAGCAGTACAACAATGGAAACTATAACCTGGGCAAGTTGTGGGAACCCCTCTCTAGAGACATCCAAAAAGCATCTGGACAGTCATCTGAATAGGATGGTGTAACTCAGTGTCCTGCAATAACGGGATGACTTTCTGGTCCCTTCCAACTCTATTATTCTGTGATTCTTTGATTTTCTAACTGGAGATGCCAGCAAAGGTCATTCAGATCAAGCTCAAATATGAGATTTGGAGACACATAATACTCACCCCAAAGGAGATGTGAACATTGCAAGAACCCCAGATTCTATTAAAATCTGAGCAGAAGAATCGGCGTTATACATGAGCCCTGCTAATCATCCAGCTCTCCTCTCCATCCTTTTAATCACTGGCTGGAGAGGGTTCTAATCATGGGAACTAGACCAGTAAGGGTACCCTATTTTAGGTGTGAGGGCTCTTAGAGGAAGAAGTAAAATCACTTTTCTCAAAGAAGGCATGCAGCTTATTGAATACAGTGATGAACTATAAATGTAGGCTATGAATAAGCAAGCCAAAGATAGACCTGACACTCACTTTTTTGTGGCCTCTTGGTTCCTTGAGTAGGTTAGGGAATGCTCTTTGGGCCTCCAAAGGTGCCTGAGTGAAAACAAGAGACACCTCCCGGCTCTCCACTCAGGTTTTATGACTTCCCTCTTTTATTAGCAGAGCCTGGCAAGGTGTGTGTAGCTTCCCTTCCCATGTTCCTGGGAATGAAGCTATTTCAGTAAGGTAAACAGTTGAATTCTCACTGCAGAGAAAGGCCTCAACTATGGAATGAGGGGTAAGGCGATCTCAAGGATCTCTGGTGCTTTTCTTAATAAGTTGATGGCAGTGGGGTCTTGGCAAGCCTTCAGGAAACTATTATGGCTTTTGGACACATGGAAAGTTCACTGCACTTCCTGTCGCATTGCAACAACCTCCTCACCGGTCCTCTGATAGAGCCTGAACAATGCAGGAAGATGGAAGGAGGATATCTGAATTTTTGTTGCTCTCCAATGGCCTGCTGAGCGCATCAAGAAGGAAAGGTCCTGTGTAGTTTTCCGAAGAAAGGACAAACTCCTGAAATGTGCCTGCTTTTGAAAATAAGCCAGACTGCTTCTGATTTTTGTATTAAAATGTTTGGAGGATGTGGGGAATCACTGGTTTTATTTCCAAAGCTACTCAGATGGCAGACAGGCATGTATTACAGATTATAATATATATATTCTGAATGTATTCTGAAAAGCCGTCCCTCTCCCCTCCCCACAAACCGCATGGCTGAGGAAGAAATATGGCTTGGGGGAACCGAGATCCTCTTTTCCAAGTGCCCACAACATCCTCAGGCCCGAACTCTGAATGCCACTCTCCTGTTCCCCAGGCAGCACAGTCCAGGTGTGCCCCAAGACACTTCTCTAAGCTTTTGATGCTGACTTATCAGGTGAGGCTCTTCACCTGCCCGTTCCAGCACTGCCTTCCTCAACCTCCGGATCTTTCACACTACAACGCCCATCAGGGACAGCCCTATCCTTAGGTATAGTGAAGCAGTTGCCTCAGAGGGCAGAAATGGCGTAGTGGCAGCAAAGTTTTGGAAAAGAGAACCGTGCACACTGTAACCTGTCCAGTGTCTTCTAAGACCACCTGCTGCCTTCAGGTGCAGCACCTGCTGCCGTTCCACCGTTGGTGTTGAAGCAAGCTGCCATTGGCAGTCCAGTGCTGGCACCATCTCACTCTTCGTCTCAGACAGCAGCTTTTGCACCAGCCCTGATTCCCAGCTCCTGATGGGAATTTTAGCCTGACACTCCTGGCAGGTGCCTCATCGGAGAAGACTGGCTTGTTCTGCAATCGGAATGTTTTAAGCCACTGGGCACTGCCCCTCCGTAACTATTGACAGAATCTTGGTTTTCAATTTGCAATGAATGAATGCTCGGATTCGCAGGGAAGATCGAATCATCTTGAACTTCTGAGACTTTATTGAAATAGTGTCCCATTTCCTGCAGTCACTAACAACAGTGCACTACCGGGGAAAAGCAAAAAGCATCTACAAGGTCTAAGCCCATGTGCAGGGACTTTTATAACCTATCACGTACACAGATACAGAGTATTTGGTTTCAAGATAATGACAGTACAATGCCTTCTTGATGTCTTTATGCATAAAACACAATACGCTGAATCCAACAGAAATACAAATAATAATAGGATGGAAAATACTACTGATTGAGCTTAATTGACATGTCAGTTCAGTAAATTCCTTGCAGCTTGGATCAGCCTCTATGTCTGTTTAAATGTGCAAATATGTCTGAGGAACCATTCAGGAAAACTGGTTTGGCAAGCTGGGCCTAGTGGAATAGGCTGACTACTCAATATCTGCTTTCAGAGCTCCTGATTGGCTGCCTGCTCCCTTGCCTCTGTTTAACTAGGTACTTGAATGGATTAAGTGGTTTCCTTCAAAAAAATGCATACCGTTGTGTCAGCTGCCTGCAGCTGATGAGAACATAGGTATTTCCCCACTTACAGTATTAGCCTACAGCAGCTTCTCAGGTGAACTACAAATTCCAGCTTCTTAAAGTAATAGCAATGCTAAACAGTAGAACGTGAAGCGGAACTAAAGAACCTCTTGATGCGGGTGAAGGAGGAGAGTGCAAAAGTTGGCTTGAAACTCAACATTAAGAAAACTAAGATCATGGCATCCGGTCCTCTCACTTCCTGGCAAATAGATGGGGAAGAAATGGAGGTAGTGACAGATTTTATTTTCCTGGGCTCCAAGATCACCGCAGATGGGGACTGCAGCCAAGAAATTAAAAGACGCTTGCTTCTTGGGAGGAAAGCTATGGCAAATCTAGACAGCGTACTAAAAAGCAGAGACATCACCCTGCCAACAAAAGTGCGTATTGTCAAGGCTATGGTTTTCCCAGATGTATGGCTGTGAAAGTTGGACCATAAGGAAGGCTGAGCGCCAAAGAACTGAGGCCTTTGAATTGTGGTGCTGGAGGAGACTCCTGCGAGTCCCTTGGACTGCAAGGCAATCAAACCGGTCAGTCCTAGAGGAGATCAACCCTGACTGCTCTTTAGAAGGCCAGATACTGAAGATGAAACTCAAATACTTTGGCCACCTAATGAGAAGGAAGGAAGTAAAAACACACTTTTTACTTCATGCTAACCATGATGCAGGTGGCGCAGTGGGTTAAACCGCTGAGCCGCGGGGCTGGTTGATCAAAAGGTCGACAGTTCGAAACTGCAGATGGGGTGAGCTCCCCTACTCTGATCCAGGTCCTGCCAACCTTGCAGTTTGAAAGCATGCAAGTGCAAATAGAGAAAAAGGTACCACTTCGGCGGGAAGGTAACAGCAGTCATGCTGGCCACATGACCACGGAGACTGTCTGCAGACAAACGCTGGCTCCGTCAGCTAGAAAACGGATATGAGCACCGCCCCCTAGAGCCAGGCATGACTGGACTTAACATTAAGGGGAAACCTTTACCTTTACCTTTACCTAACCATTGTTAGGACAAAATGAGCAAAAGCTCTGCCATAATATGGCTGCTAAAAGCCTGACACTGAAAGAAAAAGCTTTGGTCTTAAGATGGGATTCCTGATCTTATCAGGAAGGCGTGTTGCAAACTTGCTCCCCACCCAGTTGGCCTGTCCTGAAAATTTTTCCTTTTGTGTTGTCTTCATCCATTCAACCTTGGTGTTTTACTATCAAACTATCGACATGATCGCACTCGCTTCCAAACTGTATACGTAACTAATAGTTTATAGAAGCATCTTGTACAGAGTCCACCTTGGTAGTCCCTTCGGGGGGGGGGGGGGGCTGCCTACATGCCACATATATTTCCTGTAGTTCTGAATAAATTGCAAATGTCTTTTTGACTGTACACCCCCAGCAGACCTTCTCTGGTTTTTCTTTCTTTCTGAACGCCTTCTTGTCGCCATCCCTTTGCAGAAGTCAGTGACATGCAGACTTTGGAGTTTAGGTTTATACCAAGCTAAGCGCACAATCCTATGCATGTGCACTTGGGGAAAGCCCTACAATTTGCAGCATGCCTCAGGCATGGGATCTGTCCTTTAGCAACTCTCCTTTGCCCTCCCAGGTCCTCCTGCTGCTGCTGGTGGTGGTGTTTTCTGCTGCATCCGAGCCAAAGAAGGTTTGCATCTTTCAAGATCCTCCTTTACAGACCACGAGCTTTTCAGATGACTTCGAAGAACTGGTGAGTGTATTTCACAGCCATGAGCAAACCAGTATGCTGAGATTGGGGAAAGAGTACACTAGGATCTGCTACTGGGTGATTTGCAGTACACTGGCAAGTTTTTTTGTACAAGTTTTCTTGCCCCATCTGTGGAATGTGCTCCCCAGGGAGGTCTGCCTGGCACCATCGTTATTTGTTTTTCGGCACCAGGCTAAGACCTTTTTATTCAAACAATATTTTAACAACATATAATATTTATAGGTTTTAATTGTGCAGCCAGGTGTTTCTGGGTTTTACCTGTATTTGTATTATATTTATTTATTTGTGTGAGCCGTCCCAAGGCTATATAGCAAGGGGACGGCATACAAAAACTTTAAATAAATAAATGAATAAATAAGTTGTTCTTGTTTACAGTAACAAATAAAAAGCATTCTATCCTGCCCTGGCTTGCCTGTCATGATTTGCTTCTTAGCCAGCCTCCTATTTCTCACATGTAAAAGAACTGATTAACTGGTTACCCTTTGGTTAGATCTTTGTACACTTCTGCTGGCTAATTTTAGAGTTTTCCATTACAATCTCTGTCCTTTAGTAAGTCCGATAGTTATTTACTGCAGTTATGATAACTTGTCTTTTGGAATACAAATCTTGCCAGCTCAGTTTGTCGATAAACAAAGAAACATAGAAACAGAGCGAGTTATTTATTTTATATTATTAATTTTAATTTTATATTGTTATTTTTGTATTGTATTGTATTGTGTTGTAAGCCGCCCGGAGGCTTCGGCAAGGGGCGGCATAGAAATGTTCTAATAATAATAATAATAATAATAATAATAATAATAATAATAATAATAATAAGCGGTCTCCTGGGCCATCTAGTCTGACTCCCCAGCTCCAGCTGGCTCTGCTCACGACAAACAAAGATACATGATTAAACAGTGTTAAAACGTCTTTGGAAGGGCAATCTAGTGGAAGTAGGCATTTGAGCTGAACTTCTTCACCTGCCTGCCTCTCTCCCTTCCATGCATTCGTACTTGTTCAGGCAAGTCGTTCGGGCAGATGGCGCACTCTTTTGCATCTGGCTTCATTTAAACTCTCGCCTTGCACCTGGCTCAGAGTAGTGGCTCTCAGGGCTACAGTGAAAAACAAAATCAATCAGTTCCCAAAAACCATATCTGTGAGAAGCAGGTTCCTAAAGCCAAACTAGATGGTAGGCAGGTTTGCATGGCACCGCAAACAGTAAGTTACGCAACGTGGCTTGTTTGAGCAGAAGCCCTGGTGCACCTGGCAGGGTGATCATGGGTGTTCTGCCAATCCTTCTCCATCCACTTCTCCTGCTGGTATCCCAGAATGCCACATGGCAGGACCGGTCTTATTTCCCACCCAGCCACCCTCACCCTGTTCTGACTGTTAGCCCTTTTTTTCCTTCCTAGAGTCCCAGGGCATTGCCAGTAGCCTCTTGTTACCCCTTTGGGTGGGCGAGGTGCAGCGGAAGAGTGCACATCTGAATTGTAACCCTTTCCCCGGATTTTGCAGGTCTGTAAGTGTGCACTAGTGGATGCCCCAAATGTGGAGACTTCCCTGGTCAATGTCCCTGGTAAAGGTTTGCTATCAAAGTACAGTAGTTAACCGCCTGGACACTGACAAAGCAAGTCTGCATATAGGTTGATTTACACAAGCACACACTTGACAGTGTTCAGTTGGCAAGATTTTTGTCAATCAAAAAGCAAAGCAAAGAAAGAGCCTTTATTCCAAAAGGGGATAGTGAACATAGCTGCCCCATATCAATACAACATTCTCATTTTTAAATATTTCTCTGACCGTTCTTAGTGCTCTCCATCATCTCCATGCCTCCCTGGGTCTTGAGATACTCCGAAAAGGGGTGATCAGCAGACAATCCCATTTTCACAAGCACTTGCTTTTGACAGCTGTCAGAATTTGAGCATTTGGGGGAAAGGGAAATATGCAGCCATGAAATCTGCATATATTTTCCCAGCAAAAACAAACAAACAAAAATGCCCAGACTGGATAGCAGAACTGTTAGAATGGTCATCTTCATAAAATGCCATATTTATGAAGGAATACCTTGACCAGATTGCCTGGCATATGGGTACCACTCTGGAGTGCTTTGATGACCACAATTGTGCATCTCACCAGCAACTGCTTGTGTCATTCTTTTCACCGAGCCAAATGCACACACAAACTTACACACTCAGCCTTTCTCTCATACCTTTTTTTCCCTTTATCATTTTCCAGCTTATTCTTTATCCTTCTTACTCAGTTGAAAAGAAAGCAGGATGTTTAAGGACTGTAACAACAGCAGCATCATTTGATCGGAAGCCTCACTTCTTAATAGTTTTGTACCATCCAAAGAGATGAACTTTATTTTATTCCAGAACTTTTATTCTTGTTATACTTCTTCTGTTCTATTATTTCTGATTGTAATTATTGATAAGAATGAGTAACTTTAATATACTACAGACAGGGGGAAGGAAATCCTGACCATTTTCTTGGCAACAGTCTAATAACATGGCATGTTTCTGTGGCCAGGTTCCTTTGTTATTTTACAAGGCTTTTAAAGTGTGAATTTTTGTTTCCACTGGCCAGGAAAAGGACTTTGTCAAAATTTAGTTTCATTTCCCACACAAGCTGGCATGTTTCTGCATACCTATCAGAGATCATGATTTAAAACAAACTCTGATTACTTAAACCAGCTCAAGAACAAGTGGATTGAGATTAACCTGTGGGGCAAAGAACCCTAGAATAGCCCCTGGTTTGTCAGGGTGGCTTATAAACCAAAATTAAGCAACCTTGACAAAACCATTCTAGGTTCGAACACAGTGGGAAGCCATCACAGCTTAGTGTGTCAAGCAAATACAGTCAGAGAGTTTGGGTTTGAGCTTTGCTCATAATAAACCAGGATTCTGCAGTCTCTTCTCAGACAAGCCAGAATAATTTGAGCTCTAGCTTATTGTGTACACAATAATCAAAATTAATGAGACTTCAGTTATTCTAGTCTAAGTATGACTCGACTGGGCCCAATTCATTCTAAGAATGCATTCCATGCTCTTTAATCTGTCCTTTCCCATGTTCAGCCCAGCACTATCTGTACCTTTGTGTCTTTTCAGAAGAAGTACCTGCTGTTTGATTACCCCGTATTTGTGCCTTCCAACCTGAAACCGGTAAAGTCTTTAAAACAACCTATTTATTAATTTGATAATTGGACATATATTACCCTTCAGTGTAAAACATAACAACAAGTAGTGTTCTATTATCTGAAAATATTATTAATAGGAATTATTTTGATCGAAGAGGGAATTTTCATAACATAAATACATTACTAAAAGCAGAGGTTCCGGCAATGGTGGAATGGTTTGAAAGACAAGTGCATTTGTGTGAGGCTTCTGTACTTCCTGAACAACATGTCATTTTGAGATACCTAGACAGATATCTATATATGCTATCTATAGCTTGTGCTTTACTGTTGCTTTTATGCTTTAGGTTTAGTGGGAGCCTGCCAGTTTGATGGCATTTTGATTGCCTGCTGTGCTTTTGCTGTTGCTTGTTCATGTCCTTTAGCTGTGCTGGTTATTTTGGGGACAGGAGACGGGACGGGAGTTTGAGAAACAGAGAACCTGCAGCTGGGGTGCTAGGAAAGAGTCCGGATCAAAACCCAGAGTTCTGCTGCCAGTTGATACAGGAAAACCTTCCACAGCCTGTGTTCTGCTACAGCTCCCATCATCCCCATCCAGCAGGCCTGTTGGCTAGGAATGATGAGAACTGCAGTCCAACACATCTAGAGAAGAGAAGCGAGAAGAATCTATAAGGACCGATGGTCTGATCCAGCCACTGGGGTTCAGGCAACATTATAATCCACACCAGGGAGCTGCGGGTGGGTCAGGTGTGAAGGGTTGTTGAACCATGGGCTGTTCTGTTGTTTGCCCCCAGCAGCACAGGGCAGCTAATGGTTCTGTGTGTTTTATCACAAGAGCACAGCCTGTGTTCTCCCAACATACCTATTCCTGCCTAATGCTTCCCACTCACCTCCCATCCTCCCCAGGATGAATTCTGCCTGGGGTTATGGAAAGTTCATCTTATCGACAGAAACCTGCACAGCATGATCCAAGTGTCTGGGAGCAGCCTGAAGAAATATATACAGAAGATAAGGCATCATACAACTTTTATCAACGAATGCAAAATTAATGTAAGTCATACAGGTGTTTCCCTCTGCCAAGAAGGAACTTTGGAACACAACACAAGCCATGCCCCATGTTAATTATTTTTCTAGTGCTGTATGAACATATTTTAAATGCTTAGAGCAGAGAACGATCCCTTAAAAAAACCTATTACAATGAATTCAGATGTGAACAAATCACAAGAAAGCAATCCTTCAAGTTCCTTCCTGTACTGCATCATGCAATACTCCAGAAGATGCTCAGGTCTGAAAGTTAACGCGTCTCTTAGCAGTTGAATGAATCCACAAGAAGGTTCATGTAGTCTCAGCATTCTTTCTCTTTTCGGTTTTGCTTCCTTGCTTAGACCTCTGAAGCCTTGCTTCAGGTGGGTGTAGAATTTATAGATGCTGTTTTGAATCAGGTAAATCCAAATAATGCACCATACCCTCCCTGGAGAGCATCTGCTGTGTGGTTGTGCTGTGGTGACTATCTGGGCCCTCATTCCAATGTTCATTCCCTCAGTGCTGCTTTTGTAACACTGAAAAGGATTCACTGGCACATATAAAGAAGGGAAGTACTTTGTGTGCTTGGAGGAAGTAGAAAAGAATCTGTAGGGGGAAAGTCCTAAGTACCAGCTTAACGAACAAACAAAAGACAAAAACCAGCCAAATGAGGACTTTGCATACTTAAGGGGAAGTGGCGAGAAGTGGAAAGAAAACCAGGCAAGGAAGAGTTGCTGGAATTGTGAACTGCAACATTCTGTCCTGGACAATTTGGCTGCAGATCCTGCAAGTCGGGACCTAAGCTTTCTCCAGTCTGGCAACTGGCAGACGTATCAGGTCACAACTCCCATTCATATGGCTAATGTCGTACTGCCAGGTGCCGCAGACTGTGCCCAAAAGTTCATGAGGGACACTGGTCTGAAGGGAATATACCAGCTGCTTTTCAGCCTCTCAGCCCAATTCCTTACACGGTACGCACCCCCGCAGGATTGTTGTCGTTGCTCTACATGGCATTTCTAGCCCGCCTTTTTTCCTCTTGTGAGGAACACAAAGGGCTTACAGAGCTCCATTTTATCCTCGCAACAACAGCCCTGTGAGGTAGGCGAGGCTGAGAATGAGTGACTCGCTCAAAGTTGCCCAAGGAGCTTCATGAGCAAGCCAGGACCCAGATCTCCCAGGTCCCCCGTCTGGCACCCCCACACCACCGGGCTGCCAACAGCAGGGGCACCCTGTGCCTGCATGCGCTCGTGTATTCTTCCGCCAGGAGTATTTTCCCGGCTGCAGGATGGAATCCAGCATGCCCAACCTCTGCTTTGAGGGGAAGTCAGCAGGGAGCTGCGGGTTGTTCCAGCCCTCCACTATTTTCTTGTAAGGATGCAGCTTCTATACTACTGGCAGGAAATCGCTCTCTCCTCCCCCTCCTCCCCCTCCCCACTTTTGCAGCCTCATGTGCACATCTGTTGTGTGCCACTTATGAGCCATGCAATTGGCACAACTACCCTTGCCGGGTGTGGATTGTCACAGCATTTGACCCCTTTGAGGGGGGCTGGCTGGGGTGGTTTGCAGAGTCCCCCCCCATGACTTGCTCTAGGGCTGCTGTGGGGGAGTGGTTGTGAGCACGCACGCATGTCAGAACATCCCGCACGCCACAAGAGTCGTTGTGCTGATTAGGTGGCTTGCTGCTACCTTGTGCACCGTGGCTTATTGCCCCTCTTCCATCGTGCACACCTGCCTGCTCATGTCAGAAGCAGGTACACACCTCCCTATTTACTAATGCTCGATATATTGCCTACATGAAGTTATTCAGGCCTTCGTAACTGTGCTTAAACTGCCCCTTTTTATTCCTTCCCTGCCCTTCTACCTGCTCTTAGCCCCCCAAAGGGGCTTTTTGCAGTATATGGCATTGCTGGTGATAAATAGTTGCAGGGAGGGAAATGGCTTTCAGCAGCAAGCTTTTTCTAATAAAAGTGGCTTGTTTAAGCTGCCATTGTAAAAATGCAACCAACACAATGTCAAGTCCAGCCCCAATTGCTCAGGCATGAAGTTAATTATAGCAGGAGTAGGCAGAAAGTAGATAGAGATCTGGTGGTCGATCTTGAGCTGATTCACAGTAGCTTGGCAAACATTTCCAACCCCCAGTTGTCCAGCATGAGCAATGACAAAATGACATTTCCTGTCTAAATTGTACCACTGAAATGGGTAACCAGAACCAGAGCTCAGTTCATTTTTCATGCTCAAAACAAATTTCTGGATGCAGAATCTACCTAGGAGGTACCCTTTTCTTCACTGTAAGTGGATGTTTTTTCCATTTGACTCTACTTGCTGGATTTTGGGATTCTGGTAACAAAACAAACATATTTATTTACTGTATTCTTGCCTCATTTTCCAGCCAGAATAGGTTCCTCAAGCAGTTTTCAAAAAATTAATAATGAGCCAGTCCCAATCTAAAAGACACAACACAGAGAGAAAAGGCTCAGGAACAGTGCAAAATATAGGCACTTCAGGACTTCTTGTGGGTTGTTGAAATGAGTGGAAACAAGGGCCCTGAAGCCCAGTATCAGTTCATCCCTTGCCCAGTATCTGTGGCCCGTTTGGTTTTCTCCTTGCCATAATCCCCATGTCTGCTCATCTAGGAGCTTACAGGATCTTCGTATCTGGATGTTACGCCATGTTTCTCTTTTGCATCTTACTAGGACAGATGTGTCGCTTTTGAGAGGACAAACATCTCTCAGTTCCTAGAGCCCATTCCCTCCTTTCTTATGTCGTTGGCAAACTGGATGGAGAATCTCCTGGAAAATAGTTCTGCTGCTGACTTTCATAACTGCACCACTATTCAGTGCCTACCAGGTAACATTTCCAGCCGAAATGGGGAAGAGGGAAACTGAGGATCCTTTTGGCAAATTCGGCAAAAATTTATGCTGTTGGTGAAACTGCATCATAGGCTGATCCCACGTGGAGCTTTGCGCCCTCATTTGCATCCTTCAAAGGGGTCAGGGGGTTCAGTTTAAACCTGGTCGCAGTAGGTTTACTGAAATCGTGGGGACTTAGCCATGGCTGACTTAATTCCCATTGATTTCAGTTTGCCTGCTGTAAGCATGTCCAATCCATACGTGTGTTTCACATACATTATCTCTGTAGCCCACAGTCCCAGTATCAGCACCCCTTCCGCAATGACGTGGCAGCTACCTCAGATGGTCCACCAGCATCGATTCCTTCACATTGTGCTGGGACCTGCCAGCCGCCATTTTCAGTTCCACACAACGCCCCTAATGCAGCTAACCGTGGAAAATATAAATAGTTCCTCTGATCCGTTTGTCCCCATTGCAGTTGTTGTGATTTCCACAAGGTCCCAGATCAACGCTACATTAGGGGCACGGGATTGAATTTTGAAAATACTGTTAGTTAAGGTCAAGGACCAGCCCTGTTTATAACAACCGCATTGCAATCTCCATGTTGCAAGCAAGGGGACAGCGGCAGAGAGGAAGATGGCTGGCTAAGTGCTTATGTACCTGAGATCTAATTTGAATGCAGGACTTCCCGGCTTATGGCTCACACCCAGTGGTCTCTTTAATCTCTCTCCCCCCCCCTGCTCCCCTTCCTATTTGTCCTCTGTCTTTCTCAGAGCAAACCTCCACAGAGGACATTGGCTAAATATGGATTCAACCTTACTTTGAACAGACTCACTGAAATCAACGGAATTAAAATTAGTCATGAAAACTGAAGTCTCCTTGATTTCGGTATGACTAATCTGCATTCAGCACATAGTGTAGCGGTGGACAGCTCCCATCAGCTGTAGCCTGCATTGCCAGTGGTGAGAGGTGATGGGAGTTGTAGGCCATCGGCATTCACACCAAACGATAATCCCTTCTCTTCTCTTCTCTTCTCTTCTCTTCTCTTCTCTTCTCTTCTCTTCTCTTTGCTTCGCGCCTCGCCTCGCCTCGCCTCGCCTCGCCTCGCCTCGCCTCGCCTCGCCTCGCCTCAAAAGCTGCAGTGCCCATTCAAAGCCAGGTCTTACCTTCTCTGGGAGGGAATCCATTCCACAGCTTGGGTGCTGCCAGGGCGAAGGCACTGCCCATCTCACATTCCCAACAAAATCTGTTTTTGGTGGGACATACTGTATCTATATGCTTATTTGATGCATTAAATGCCTCTTAAAATACAGCTCTCTGGGGTGTTTGCTTTTTAACAATTTAAAACAGAGTAAAGCCGATAAGTTAAAGACGTGGGCACAATTCTGTGGTGTCTTGACAGAGTCTGGAGAGCCTTGGGATGATTTAGAATCCCTTGCCTGCCGCTCACCCACACAGTCAGTGTGGACCGAATCATGCTGCCTGCATCTCCAAGGCCAGACACTGACCTCCGAGAGGGCTATGGGGGCATGTTTTGGGGACGGGGGCAGGAAGGGGAGGAGGCTGGGGAGGTTGGCTTCCACCGTATCTAAATGGCTCCTCAGCTTCCTCCCCTCTCCCTCTGGCACTTCACCTAAACAGCTAAACATGGTTGTCTGGATTAAGTACAAGGCACGAAATGCAGACCACTGCACCTCCTGCCTTGCATTAGTAGCACGTGAGTTCCTGTGCTTGAAGGCCACTTTGCACTGAGGAACAGACAAGGTAGGATCCTGACTTTTGAGCGCAATCCTAGGCAATCCTGTTTAGATAGAAAAAAGCCCTGCAGTTCCCAGCATCCTCCAGTCAGCCATGCGGAGAATGAGGGAACTCTTGAAGAGGGGCTTCTGTGGACCACCTGGAGGTACAGGTAGGTGCTTATGGTAGGATGCATTCCACCTGGCCCTAAGCCATGGAGACAGCATCACTGCTTCCAACTGCTTGGAAGAATCCACAACAATTAAACTGGTACAGCACTGATATGTTTGTAATGCAAATATTACAAATATTACTCCTACCCCTTCTCTTCTCCTCTGTCATTCTACTTCTCTTCCTCCATCTTCCACCTTCCTTTAAGAAAATACAGTATTGTGATGCTGCTCACCTTGGCTCAGGTTCTAACCTGCTGCTTGGAGACGAACGTGCTATTCCACACCATCGTGGTTCATTCATTTATGTGTGTGTCCTTTTCATATTGTCTAGTTCAGGGGTCCCCACATGGGACTCATGGACCCCTTCAGCAGCGTCTGTGCAGCTCTTTGCTCTCTGCACCTTTCAGAAATGTTTAAGAAAACACTGAAAAAGCATTAGGGCTGCAGCTGCTTCTTCTTCCTGCATAGCAGGCAGCAAGGGAAAGCAAAGCAAAGGAGCTGGAAGGTGAGAAAGAGCCAGGCAGGAGAACGGAAGTGCGGGGAAGCAGCACACTAAAGCGGGTGGTGGGAGAGATGAGCAAGGAGAGGTAGTCTGTGTGGACCGAGGAAGCCTGGATGGGCTGGGAAGCCACTTTTCCCATTCTGCCCTTTATCCCAGCCTCCCAGTTCAGGATTTCTCTCTCCAAACCTCCTGACCTGACAGGCCTCACAGCAGCCACTGTGTAACTTCCATATTTTGTGAAGGTGCCCGCAGCAGTTTCTCAGGTTCCAAAATGCAGCTATGAGTCCAAAAAGGTTGGGGACCCCTGAACCACCCTCTGTCCTGCCCTGGACTGCACTTGCTACTAGTAGGCATTTGATCTGCCCCTATAGGTCAGTCTCTTTCTGTACTGCAGACTCTTACACCACTCCAACTATCAGTCCCTCTGCCCAGAAGCATGAAATGAACCACACATCTCCGCCAGTCTCCCCTGGAAGAGCTTACTGGGGGCTGCTTATATTTCCAGTTTTCTTGCTCTGCTCCCTCTCTGTCTTGAGAATTCCATGCAGGAGATGCCAGGTAAGCAAAACAACAGCAGCAGCAAAGACCTTTCCAAAGGCCCTGGGCTAGATTCATCATGGTAGGTGGGGATATAAATCTAAGAAATAATTCCAGAGGGGTGCATTCATGTGTTGTAGCCTCCTCTCCCTACCTAAGAGTCTCTCACTTTCATCAGATACATGAAGTCGTATCCTCTAGTGGCAGGTACATAGAAATATGGGAGCTGGTGGGGCAGAGAGAGAAAGTGTAAACAGAGGTCACCGGGCAAGTGCATGCAACAAGCACTGCCTGGAACATTTCATGTAAAGCTTCAGCTTGCAAGCAAGGCATTAACTGGTGATAACGTCACCAATTAATGTCTCCAGTTAATGACCAATAATCATAACACTCACTGGGGCTGGAAACACTTGATCCCATCCATGCCCAAAGGGAGCGAACCCGAATAATGGTAAATTTTAATTCAGCAGTTTCACACCGGAGTCTCTTCTTTAAAGTTCCGTTGTTGGCGAAGGGAACTTTCAGGTCAGTATGATTTGTGGAATTTCAGCTTTTCTGCCTTCTTTTGAACGCACTGGTAGGTAGAGTATGAAAAGAATACCTGTCAATGGATCCATAGGTCCTATGCCAGCCTTCCTCAATTCAGCATCCTCCAACACTGTTGGATTACAACCTCAGTTATGACTAGCTGTGGATGATGAGAGTTGTAGTCTTACACATTTGGAGGATGCTGGGTTAACAAGGGCTGCTGGGTGCCATGTTTCTCTGAACATTATACAGTGGCATCGCATATAACTCCAGTGGGGTCCGCCTGCCCGCCTTCAGCATCCAGCACTTGAAATGGTTTGGAGAAATATACTAAATTGCCTCCTGGTGGCGATTGTCCCAGTGGCCATTGCTCCATTAACCTGCCCCCTGCCAGCATCTTTGCCCATCAGTACAGTCAAGACAGTAATCCTGGCCCTGTGCTTCATCTCCCAGACGCCCCCAAGTTTTCGGGAAACTGACATGGAGCCTGTGGAGGTCCTTTAGGAATGGCAAAGGTGACGGTAAGACATTTCTGCATTTCTGTGAGTTATCCCTGATCAGAAGGTGGGGTAAAAGACCGACCATGCTTCTGTGCAATTCGCCCTGAGCCGTGGATGTTAGCAGGCATTGCGCCATGGTTTAAAAAGGTCATGCTTTGCATGAAGAGAAGGGGGTAAGCTGCACTGCAGGTGAGGACGAGCACGGCCGAACACTCTTGTGTTAAAAAAATAGATAAATCAGTCCCTGCAGAGGGAAAAACAGCCTGTGAGGGAGGAAGTAACATTGAAGTGGAGGCTGACATGGTTAAATGTAAACCTGAAGGAGCGCTTACATCCATATATGCCCAGTCGCCCCCTGAGGTCGGCAGGAGAGGCCCTTCTCCGGGAGCCCTCCGTGAAAGAAATTAGGAGGGTGGCTACTCGGAGGAGGGCTTTCTCAGCGGTGGCGCCTAAGTTATGGAATGCGCTCCCCAGAGAGGTCCGCCTGGCGCCGTCATTATTTGTTTTTCGGCGCCAGGCGAAGACCTTTTCATTTAAGCAACATTTTAAATGTTAATACTACTGAATTTTATCTGGCCAGGGCGGCTTATTTTATTTTGTGTGTATATTGTATTTTAAATTATTATTAGTATTCTAATATGTATATTTTAATTTATGTGGTTTTATTTATTGTTGTAAGCCGCCCCGAGGCTTCGGCAAACGGGGCGGCATAAAAATGTTCTAATAAATAAAATAAAAAATAAATAAATAATCCTTTGCACACAAATACAATCCCTGTACATATAAAATTAGTATGTTAAGGAGAGACTAAATTGCAAGTGGAATCTCAAATGGCTGTACAAAAATACCTCTGTATTCTGTATACCTGCCTGCATATAGAAACTAACATGTCAAGAAGAAGGCTAGTTTGCCAGGGGAGGAATCACATGGCTAGTTGTCCTCGCTTACCAAACAAAACAAAACAAACACCTTTGCCTGAGGAACCCTGCATGTCAGGGGAAAAGTTGCTGTCTCTCTTCCACCTTTGTATGCTAATTTTTCTATGTAATTTTGTGTGCACATGGAAAAATATCAGTGCTTTTTTGGTCATAGAACGCACCGGAACAGAGTTCCGGCACCTTTTTTCGACGGATTTTCCAAGTTTTAAAAGTAACTTTTGAAAATTCGATGTTTGGTCCACGTGGATTTGAATCACCCTGTCGAGCGTAGCAGGTCGGCAGCAAAATCATTAAAACGGTGCCTGCGGGCTGCTTGTGTGTCGAATCCGATGCATGCGTACTTCGTCCGCGCTGGTTGTGATGGTGCTGCTCAACCTGTGATTAGTTGTGTGGTCGTGCGCTGAGTGCTTACTGCGGGCGGCAACTGTTATGTTTCATTACACAACTGATGCGTGCGTACAGTGATTGACTAAGTGCGAAAGGTAAATAATTTCATGAGTTCCGGCGCCTTTTTTCTTACAAAAAAGCACTGAAAAATATTAAGCTATTTTAAGAAAGAGGGTGAACTGTAGTTAAAGGTGCGCATTGTTTAATGGTCCTCCATATAAAGCCAAAAAAGCCCCTGCACACAGAAATGTAGCAAACCACAGAGAAACCTGGACTCCAGCTCTTCTCCCTAACATGTTAGCTTTCTGTGTTCAGATAAATTTTTGGAAACTGGAGTTGTCAGCTAATCGCAGCCTAATGTGGTGAGTTGTACCTCAATATGATTTATAGGTTCGTGCCTTAAGGGAAATATTGCAGAAACGCAAAGGAATATATTTTTGCAACACCCTTACTTTCTTGACAACTTAGCTTGTCTTTCCCTCCCACAGAATCTCATCCACAGGTGCAAGTGATCTGAAAGAGATGGAGACTTCCTGCTGACGTGTTGGTTCGAGCACCTCATCCTCTGCTCCCAGTTTTCTCCCTGGAGGCCTGAAGTCACAAATCACAAATGTCACCTTCTGGAAAGCTGGGATGGGGGAGAGAGAAAGATCTTGCGAAATGTCTACAAGGCTGCAGTTCTGACACATTCCACTGGGTGATGCTGCACCGACATTTTTATATTGTATGTGTATGTGTGTACATGTGTGTGAGAGAAAGATGTATATATTTTGTATAAATAAAAAGCAAATGTTTAATAACCATGTGGATGTTTCATTGAAGGGGCATTGCACAAAAGGCGAATGCTGGTACCTGTGACCAGCATCACTGGGCATCTGTCAGGGCCCATGAAGGGGTCCTCATGATAAACTGCTGGGCCTGAGAGGTCTCTAACTACTTTAAATTTCTCATTATGCCCCAAAGTACTGCACGTGTGGCTCTTGAATACTGGGAGAGATTGGCAGTCCTTTTAATGGAAAACTTGGAATAGCCGTCAGGAGACCAGTGCGGGGGGTGTGGGGGCCCGCAGGCCTGCAGCTGCCCCTCATACCCAGAACTGCTGTGTTTGCACAGCCCACCCTTGTGGGCACAGCCAAGCTCCTCGAAGGCTGAGGGGTCTCTTGTGGCTACAGGACCAGCTCTACCATCAGGCAAACCTCGGGCAGAAGGGGAGGCTCCCCCTGTGGAAGGACGGAACTGGGTGCTCCAGGTAACCTGCCCTGCACCTGCTTAAGCTGGTCTGCAGCCCTCCAGTGTGGGGCAGAATGTTACCCCATCAGTGCTGCCCAGGCAAAACACACCTGCCAGTCCAACAGCTTCTGGGGTTGCTCGTGGGACCTCATCCCTCACCTCAGGCAGCAAAATAGCTCTCATCGGTCTAGTGATGGCAGGAACTTTGCCAGACCGTGTCCTGTTTCAGCCAACACATCTTCTGTGTTAATCTGTTTGGTGCTACAGGAAGGTTTGAGTTTGTTGGAGAGGAGTAACACGGCTGCTTTTCTGACCCAAAGATCATTCCATATAGCAGCTCCTGTACCGTGACCCATTAGAGCGAGCACCTTCCCCCTTTCTGCGCCAGATGGTGGTGAAACTTTACCGTTTGTGAGGATGACACAGATACTAAGACTGCCACAGAGTGAGAGGAGGGATCCCCAGTGCAGGGCCACTGTAAGGTCCTGTGTCTAGTCCTGCATCAGGACATACGAATGCACCACAGGAAGCTCTGGCTGGGTTAATTTTCGGTGGCGTGCAGCTTAATCAGGGAATCCCAGAATGTCAGTCCTGGACAGTGGAGATCCAAGCCCAAATCCTCTGCAGCCAGGAAGCTGACTGGATGACCCTGAGCTACTTGCTCTCTGTCTGTCCTTGTTAGCATGCGATGGAGAGGGCCAGGTACTCCTTCCCGAATTCCTTCCTTCATAATACCCCTTCCCGGAGAAAGGGAGTTATAAAAGCATCATTAATAACAACACACATTGCATCCAAGAGCATCTTAAACACCCCCCCCCCTTTGCAGCTGCTCAGCAGTACCGTCAGTATAGCTAACTCTACCACATTCTCTCTCTCGCTCGAAATGAACGATCTTTCCATTCTGCATGGGGACTTGTGTAATTCTAAAGCTTGTCCATTTCTATGCTGGCCAGGCATGCCACCCTAACTTTGTTTGATCTATGTGTAAGTGTTCTCTGTCTGTTGGAAACAGTTTTTAGACTTCACAGAGGTAGATGATACCAGGGAGCAGGGGAGGATGAATTCTTGTTTTTATTTATTTTACTGCTTTAACATTTGGTAGTGGGTAAGACACTGCTGGGACAGGTGCTTTCCCAGAAAAATTACCCTCAAAAAGCAGCAAAGGAAACTCTGGAAAGAGCAAGGCTGTCTCTCCTGCACATCCTAAACAAAATCCTTGGCCGTGAGGGCTCGTTCCACCCCGCCACCTCCGATGCCTTCCCGCACTGCCCCTCCTTTCCAGATCCCTCTAACTTGTGCATCTCACCCCGTGCCCCTTTATTTTAAAACCACTGATTAAACGTAGCCGTCTGCTCTCCACCCGCAACTGGGGCATTATCATCCCGGCCCTTCTCCATGTTGCATGCCTCTGCTCCTTCTTCTGGTTCATAATCTTTCTTTTCCTCTCCCCCCACCCCGCCACACTTCTCTTTGACGTCGCTCAGTGACGGGGATGCTAAGCCTGCACAGGCTAACCCTTTGCCGCTGGCCGTCTTCAGATCCCCCTGCGCCTCCTGCCGAGACACAGTCCCCACTCCCTACCTGGGGTAAGGAGTAACGGGGATGGAGGGGAAATGAGGGGCACAGAGAAGCAGGCGCCGGGAGCTGTGTTGGACACAGCGCTCCACTGGCCTCTTCAAGGTTTGGGCCCTTCGAAACAGGGTGGGGGTGGCGGCAATGAGTTGTTATGGGCAATTTCCCCTCTAGGGGGTGCTGTTGCCCTTATGGGATGAACCTGCTCCAGGTGGTCTTTGCGGGGTGGAGGGAGCCCCTAATACAGAATGTTTCTTTTGGTGTCTTGGGGGTGAAGAATTGGGGAATGGTATTTCATACACTTTTTATACTGTGCGGTGCAAACGTGAGCTTCTAAAGAGTGATGTTCCCTAGGAGGGTTGCCAGCTTCTTAAAGGGCATTAGGGTTTTCACACAGAAATGAGGCAGTGTGTGCAGTTTCCCCGGGCAGTGAAGGCAGTGGAAGGGAATGTTTTAAAATCTGGCAAGTGTAGTCCAACTTACACTTAGTCCAAGTGGTGAAATTTTGAGAAACCGGGATCTCTACACCCCACAGCCCCAAAGAAAGTGCTGAGTCGAATCTAGGATTGGCTGCTAAGAATTGAATATGAGGCCTTTTTATATATTCTGTTTGTAAGCCTTTCAGGAATATAGTGATGGTAATGCTAGTCTCTCATGATAGAAGAGAAAAAACATGTGAAATGACTTGTTTCGTTTTGTCTCGTCTTGTTTCTTCATTTCGTTTCGTTTCGTTTCGCCTCGGCTCATTTCGTTTCGTTTCATTTTGTTTGTTTTGTTGTTTTTAATTGGACCGACATGGTAAGCTATCCAATCGTGCAAGCTTTTGAGTTCTATGGGATGCTTTGTCAAACTGTCTGATGAAAAATCCGATGAGACACAGCAGTTTGCAAACCATTGAAACAACCAAAGATGTTGGTTCATCTGGTTTTGATCTTCCACACAAGATTTATCAAGTTTTATGAGAAAGGGTGGGTGAAGAATGACATGTGAGAATTTCATTTCTAGGAAGTCCTGTTTCTGACCCTACATTAGTTTACTGAACAGAAATGTAAACTCTCTTTTTTTTCCTGTTTATACCTAAATATGATTGCATTCTTTACCAAAAATGTGTGGGGGTTTTTTCCTGTTTACACCCAAATCTGAATGCATTGTTTATCAAAAGCTTTTAAAATGGGTTTGGGTGTCCACATGTTGGAAAGGAGTCTATTATTTAATTGGGAACGTACGACAATAAGGGTGAGGTGCTTTTTTATTTGTTTGTTTGTGTGTCCCCTTCCTCTATTGGCTCTCACGGCTGAAATCACAGCACCGTCCAGGGTTTCCAAATCCTCCGACTTGATATGGATTAGGAAATGGGACACAGGGCACCCACTGGGAGTTGAGAACGCAGCGGGTGCAGGATGCAAAGCAGGAGAACTTTGAGCACCGTGAAAGAGGACACATATATGGGGAGCCTACATGTGTCTCGTCCCCATAATCCTCTTCTATTGGGGTCATTTGCATTCATGATGCAAAGTGCCCTTTCTAGCCTCCCTGAATTGGCTGGATTCCTTTTGACACAGTTATCTATCACTAGCTAGGACTGTAAAGTCCCCTGTCTTAGCCTTCCCCAACCTGGTGTCCTCCAGATGCGTGTGGAACTACAGTTCCCATCATCTACAGTTCCCATGGCTATTGGGTGCCCTGTCAGAGGCATGGCTGTTAGCTGTGTTGGCTGTGGAATGATGGGAAGTGTGGTCTAATACATCTGTTAGCTGTGATGACTGTGGAATGATGGGAGCTGTAGTCCAACACATCTGGAAGACATCAGATTATGAATGGCACATGTCTATCTGTATTGGCAAGAGGACAGAATTTGATGCAAAGGGCCGGGAGATGGTCCACCTGCTCAGATTTCCACTTCTGCCTCACTGGGTAGATCCATAGGACACGCCTGCCCTGGTTTCCTATCAGTTTAATTATCATGGCATCCAGGCCAAGCACAATCCCAGCCTGGCATGCAACCTTGGTATTGTCGCTCACCCACACATGGAGCTACACCTCTTTTTCAGATTGGAACTCTTGCTTGAGGGAGGGGGGGGCTTTTAAGATTCAGGTTGCTCCCGCCCCCATGCCTATTATCTGGGGTGGCTTGGAAGCCTCCCTTTTCACTGTGCACCCCACTAGATCTGGACGACACAACAAAGTTCATGCCATGAGGGTAATCAGATACATTGGCCATTAAGCTGGAAGGAGATTATGCCCCAGAAATTCCTGTCAGCTTGGTGGGACATTTGACCCGGATGTGAGACTATAACACTGCCTGAGGATATGAGTGTGCAAGTGAATCCATATCAAACATCCACCAATAAAACAGCTAAATCGTTTTAAAACTGTAGTAGGGCAGATCATGGCCACTAGCTTAACAGGCCGAGGTTTCATGAGATGGTCAGGTGTAGTGTTACCCAAATCCATGGCATTCATTTGCTTATCCTTTAGCTGATTAACATGTTCCTCGGGAAGGTTCATTCAAGGCTCATCAGCCAGAGCCTAGAGGGGGAAGGGTGACCCATGTGTTCCTTTCTGGACAGTTCTTTGTTTTTGTCCAAGCCACCCAGTACCCCTGGATAGAAAAGTCCTCCTACCAAAATCAGGAGGTTCACAGAGACATCCCCTTCCCCCACCAGCCCCCCAGTAGCTCAATCTTCTTTTTGGAAGAAGAAGTGGTCCTTTCAGTAGGTCAGTTGCTCTGGGTGGGATGGAGGCAGCATCTGAAGAAGCCACAGTGGGTGGGTGAACCGAGTCTCTCCTCCCTGGTCTCGGAGTGACCTTCCGGCAAGGACCACAAGACCACAAGAGAGCCAGTGCGGTGCAGTGGTTAAGAGCGTGGGACTGGGACTCAGACGACCCGGGTTCTAGTCCCCGCTCAGCCATGGAGCCAACTGGGTGACTTTGGGCCAGTCACAGACTCTCAGCCCAGCCTACCTCACAGGG